GCGGATCCGGCGAGGTAGGCCTCCTCCTCCTAGATCTCTGTGTTAGGGTTCCGGTGAGCTCTCCCTCTCATCTTTCCCAACTCCAACGGGCTTAGAATGGCCCCACCCAATGTTTGGTGGTTTGAAGGGAGAAACTACTAGAGAGGACGCAAGGGCAATCCACGCGACCACGCCGATCGCGCGATTGCGCATAGGTTGGCCTTGGCGCCGAGGATGGCTGGAGAGCAGGTATGTTGTTCTATTCTATTTTTTTTTATGTCCATCGGTTTAGAGCTAATCCCTAGTTTTGGCTGTGGCTTGTCGTAAATGATCGTGGAGGCACACAAACCCGGGCTAGCCTAATTGGCTAATTAAACTATTATTTTTATATTGAAGGATAATCATCATGAGCTTAAAAGGACGACAATGGATCTTTTTACAAGGGGTGGACATCGATGTTTCAATAGATCGGCAAGATGAACTTATTGATGACTTTGATGTGATTCAGATGCGCAGAACAAAATTTAAATAAAACATGTTAGTTTCTTTAACCATTTGTGCTTATCGTTATATTTTTCATAGCAAAATTGTCACAACATGCATAATTAATTATTTAATAGAGATTTTAGTGTTTCAATATATGTTATATATGTATTTGATTGTCGGTATACAATTCCTGGCTCCACCAGCGCCTAAGCAGCGCTGTGGTGGGTGAAAGCTCTAGTTTGGTTTTGGCTAATTGATGAAACCTAAGTGCTAACCTAGTTTATCAAGATGATTATGAGATAGGTAGCTCTAAGTGATGGACGAAGATCATGACAATGGTGATAGCATGGTGATGATCAAATGCTTGAACTTGAAAAGAAGAAAGAGAAAAACAAAAGGGCCATGATCCCCACCCAATGATCACATTTGGTGAAAAACTATTAAAAGTGTAACTCTGTGCAGAAATGGCCCAAGTGCCACTAGATGCTCTAACTCATTGCATATGCATAGGATCTAGTGGAGTGTACGTGAAAATATGCACACATATACTAGTGGAGAGCCCAACCGTTGTCCGATCCTAGCGGCGAGGGCCGAGCCGCAAGGGCAATCCACGCGACCACGCCGATCGCGATTTACCGCAGTGCCGCCGGCGCCGCCACACCCGCCCCGCCGCTCGGCCGTAAAGGCACGCACCTCTGCAGACTGCAGTCCGCACCTCCGTCCGACGTCCAGTCCAGGTCCAGCCGTCCAGGGTTGCAGGCAGCAGGTAGCCAGGTATGTTGTTCTATTCTATTTTTTTTATGTCCATCGGTTTAGAGCTAATGCCTAATTGGCCTAATTGGCTAATTAAACTATTATTTTTTATATTGAAGGATAATCATCATGAAACTTAAAAGGACGACAATGGATCTTTTTACAAGGGAGAGGGAGACACTGCTGATGTTTCAATAGATCGGCAAGATGAACTTATTGATGACTTTGATGTGATTCAGATGCGCAGAACAAAATTTAAATAAAACATGTTAGTTTCTTTAACCATTTGTGCTTATCGTTATATTTTCATAGTTGAAAATTGTCACATTGAGAGCTTGCATTTACATTCATTAATTATTTAATAGAGACCTCTTAGTGAGTTTTAGTGTTTTTCAATATATGCAACTAGAATTATATATGTATTTGCAACCCTTGGCTATACAAGTTTGCATTACGCTATTTGTCATACTAATCAAATTGCTATAGTTGCTCCACTATTCACTGCCTAGCCATATTAGGACCTTTTAGTTATTAGGGGGGAGGAAGGTAGCGCACGCGAGGTTGAAGACGGTGTTGCTTGCGGCGGCATAACACATGCACGACCGTAATTTAGCTGCGCCTTACTTTTAATATACATAATACATAGATGGTTCAATTTCTACATGTCGGTAAATAGTATAGCTTCCTTTTTAATTATGTTGGTTTCAAATAATACTCCCTCCCTTTTTTTTTCGTTACAAGACGTATTTCCTTTTGTTAGAAAAGGCCAAAAGCTGTCATCGCAATTACTCTATTAGCATATTATTTATGTGATACAAATCTACAATCATGACCAAACGAAATCAACCTTGTAATTTCAAATACGAGTAGTATAGTACAAGGGTAGCCATTCCTTGATACAGCAGCACTGTAGGGATTTGGAGCGGGTCAAAATCTGCCCTTTTGGTGCTTTTCCATAGCCGTGATGTTGGCGTTGCTGATGTAGGGATTGGCGCAAAGCCGCTAAGCCTTATCATCACTCGCTGCGTGCTGAATGCAAAGCAAGCAAACGATGCGATTAAAAATGGTCCCGCGCCGATGCCGAAAACCGTCGAAGGGCCTCCGTGGTTTCTCCTCGCTTTCCGCAAAGCTGATTGGCAAAACCACAGCAGAGTTCGTTCCCACTCTCGCGCGCGTCCATGGATTTCCAGCGGCAGCTTCTAGGGTACGTTCGGTTGCCTTTAAACCCGGTTTGATCTACTTATTTTTTAATATAGAATAGTATTTTTCTCTCACAAATTCCTTCAACATTTTTTCAAACCATCCAGATTTCTCCGAATTCAGAAGCGAACATATATCTGTATACGACCAGTTTGCTGCGCTTCCGACGCTTACGCACGCAGCATGTTGGGTAGCGTAGAAGAAGCAGACTTTTGGGAGCACCCCATGCCATGCCATGCCTCTTCTTTGCAAAACTCAGTCAGTTCGTCACAAATAAGGACTGAAGCCGTCATTGAGCAACACCTACTATTTAAAAAATTGCACCTAATAACAATTAACAAGCCGCAACAGAGAAAACCACACGCATTATATATAGTTTTACAGATCTGATTAATCTAAACCCGTACTTGCCAATATGATTCCAGTTTAATTAAAGGGTTAAGTCCAATTTACACCCTCCAACTTACAACAAAGTTTGATTTTAACCTCGAACTTCAAAACCGGACAACTTTGACCCTCCAACTCTGGAAAAAGTTCAACTTTTGACCTTCTGGGCGGTTTTGCGGATGAACAGTAACTTTTGATATTTTTAGGAGATGCCGAAATTTTATATTATTTTTTGAGCATCTTAACGTCCTCAAATGAAAAAACTCAAAACTACAGAGTTGTAGATCTCAACGAGGTCTACAATTTACATATAAAGATTGAAGGGTTTTCTATTTTTTGAAATTTGAGTTTTTTCATTTGAGGGCAGTAAGATGCTCGAAAAAATAATATAAAATTTCAGCACCATATTTTATCGCGTGATGAGACTCAAATTTCAAAAAATAGAAAACCCTTCAATCCGATGTCGGATAAAGATAATTTTTATATGTAAATTGTAGACCTCGTTGAGATCTACAACTTTATAGTTTTGAGTTTTTTCATTTGAGGACGTTAAGATGCTCGAAAAAATAATATAAAATTTCGGCGTCTCCCAAAAATATCAAAAGTTACTGTTTATCCGCAAAACCGCTTAAAAGGGTGAAAGTTGAAAAGAGTTGGAGGGCCAAAGTTGTCCGGTTTTGAAGTTCGAGGTTGAAATCCGAACTTTGCTGCAAGTTGAAGGGTGTAAATTGGACTTAACCCTCAATTAAAAGAGGAGGATCGAGCTGGACGTTCCAGACGGCACACAGAAACGGCTAAAGTGAAGGTTGGGCGTCGAATTACGCTGCAGCTTCCAGTGATCCGACGACCCTGATATCATAGTCCCTTCGTGCATCATGAGGTGGATAATCAAATGGCCGGCCAACCGGTCTCGCGATCGGTGAGCAGCGACCATCACAGGGGGCCATTCGTAATGCCCCGCGATGGCGTCTCGAAAAAGAAGCGCCATTCTTTATGGGTGGGTGTTGAGATTTGGGGGCAGATAGAGCTAGACAAGTCGTCCATGGTTAGAGGGCTCATCGCCCTTGTTTAATCGCTGGCCTCCGCCTCTCGAGGTCAAACACGTCGACTAGCTGCTTAACTGTCGTAAGAGAATTCCCGGACATGTCGAGCTGTGAAGCTCTCGGCTAGCCTTTTCAGCTCGTCTCGTCCCTTGGCAGGCTGACACTACATGCTGTGAAACGAAACCGGCAAATATTCCCCTGGGGATTTCGCTGGCGCCAAACCCACCAGCAACGCCATCGGCGACGGCGTCGGCGTGCGCGCGCAGGGCCATGACCTCCGATCGCGTCGCGGGATTAATAAACAAACAAACATCGCATCTGGCTACAAGATAAGGCGCCCATCTGTCCGCACGATTGCAGGAAGCACCATGCCTGCATCAGCCGGCGAAAGGCGACAGCATACAGGAGCTGCTCTGCTCTTGTTTGCCGCGGGAAACAGCTGGACTCCGACGTGCATATTCCGTAGTTCGTAGCAGGATCAGCGCCTCGCTCCCTCCCTCCTGCTGCTGCCCGTCGCTCTAGCTCACACGGACACGGCTCAATCATTGACCAGGAACGAATGAATTAGCAAAGCGTTGAGTAGGTTGAGCACTCGCGCTTAGGCTAAAGCTCCCTGCTTTATTAGATCGTTTGATTTGCAGCTGACAGTCTGGTCGCCTCTGCTCTGGCCTCTGAGCCCTCCCTTGTTTAGTTGGTGAAAAGTTAGAAATTTGGCTACTGTAGCACTTTCATTTTTATTTAGCAATTAAGTGTTCAATCATGGACTAATTAGGCTTAAAACGTTCATCTCGTAATTTCCAACCAAACTGTGTAATTAATTTTTTTTCGTCTACATTTAATGTTCCATACACATATCGCAAGATTCAATGTGATGGGTGCTGTAACACTTTTTGGGAAATTTTTTTTGCGAACTAAAGAAGGGCTAACACCTTTTGGCATTTTTGGTGGTTTCACACGAGTATATATACTCAGCTTGCCTATATATGCCACCCCCTCACACCTGGCCGGATCCATCATCATCGCAGCCTTCCTTCCTTGTCCTCCTCTGCCTTGCCTGCTCATTCCTCGAGCTGCCACTGCACTGCAAATCCATCTTGTTTGCGCTTGCACCACTTGTGCGTGAGCGTGAGCCAGCCACCAGGTGCAGAGGCCATGGGTGGCAAGCTGTTGCTGGGCGCGAGCCAGAGCCACGCTGCGGCGTCGCCTCCGCTGTCCAAGGTGGCCACGTCCGGCCTCCACGGCGAGGACTCCCCCTACTTCGCGGGGTGGAAAGCCTACGATGAGAACCCCTACGACACCACTTCCAACCCGGGCGGCGTCATACAGATGGGCCTCGCCGAGAACCAGGTGTCCTTCGACCTCCTGGAAGGGTACCTCAGGGACCACCCCGAGGCGGCGGGCTGGGGCGGTGTCGCCAGCTTCAGGGACAACGCGCTGTTCCAGGACTACCACGGCCTCAAGGCCTTCAGGAAGGTGCGTGTGTGACCGAGCGCTGCTCTGCTCGTCTTCGATCGGTGTCCTGGATGGTATGGACCGCGGACAAGTGCAACGTACTGACCCGCCTGACGGCGTCATTTGCTTGCAGGCGATGGCGAGCTTCATGGAGAAGATTAGGGGCGGCAAGGCCAGGTTTGACCCCGACCGCATCGTGCTCACCGCCGGCGCGACGGCGGCTAACGAGCTGCTCACGTTCATCCTGACCAACCCCGGAGACGCGCTGCTGATCCCTACTCCTTACTACCCTGGGTAAGACGGTATGAACAAGAAATCCATATGGACATCCAAATCTAAAATGGATAGTGAGAGACTTAAGGTCTCTTTGGCACGGCTTATGCCGGCTTCGGTTTCATCTATTTTGTGCAAATCGAGACACTGTAACGTGAAGCCGTTTTGTAAGCCGGGGTTAAAATGAACTAGAAGCCGAGAAAAGCCAATTTTTCTGGCTTCACCGGCTTTGGCTTCACCGGTGAAGCCGTTTTGGATGAGCCGTGCCAAAGGGGCTTTAAAATCAACCTTGAACAGAGTACTTATACGGGAGATCTATTTTGGGTTGTCTGAGAGGCACGACTCAAATATGGGCATCCTCCCTCCTGAAAACCCATTTGCAGAAATAATTCTCTTTTAGGTCTGGTTGTTAGAGAATATGCCAAATAGGTATTGAACATTTTACCTGTAGCGCTACTTAAAAGACTAATGTGTCTTGTATTTTTGATGTTGTCGTTGAAGATAGCATAAGCCAAACACATCAAGCAAGCTGCATGCATGCACCATGCACCGACCAGTGCTATGCTACTGTTACATACACTGCCACAGTGCTCTACACAGACAGACAGTGCATGCTCTCGTTCTGACATGGCGGCTGGCTCTGCTTTGGTTTGCAGTTTCGACAGAGACCTGAGGTGGAGGACCGGGGTGAACATCGTGCCGGTGCACTGCGACAGCGCCAACGGGTTCCAGGTCACGGTGGCCGTGCTCCAGGCGGCGTACGAGGAGGCCGAGGCCGCGGGGATGCGCGTCCGCGCCGTCCTGCTCACCAACCCGTCCAACCCGCTCGGCACCACCGTGAAGCGGTCGGTCCTCGAGGACGTGCTCGACTTCGTGGTCCGCCACAACATCCACCTCATCTCCGACGAGATCTACTCCGGCTCCGTCTTCGCGGCGCCGGACCTGGTCAGCGTGGCGGAACTCGTCGAGTCCCGCGTGCGCCGCGGCGACGACGCCGGCGTCGCGGAGCGCGTCCACATCGTGTACAGCCTGTCCAAGGACCTGGGCCTCCCGGGTTTCCGCGTCGGCGTGGTGTACTCGTACAACGACGCCGTCGTCACCACGGCGCGCCGCATGTCCAGCTTCACGCTCGTGTCGTCGCAGACGCAGAAGACGCTCGCCGCCATGCTCTCGGACGCCGACTTCGCCGACGCCTACATCCGCACCAACCGCGAGCGCCTCCGGGCGCGGCACGACCACATCGTCGCCGGGCTGGCCCGCGCCGGCGTGCCGTGCCTGCGCGGCAATGCCGGGCTGTTCGTGTGGATGGACATGAGGTGGCTGCTCGGCGGCGCGACCGTCGCCAGCGAGCTCAGGCTGTGGGACCGGATGCTGCGGGAGGTGAAGCTCAACATCTCGCCTGCCTCGTCGTGCCATTGCTCGGAGCCCGGCTGGTTCAGGGTGTGCTTCGCTAACATGAGCTTGGACACGCTGGATGTTGCACTGGCAAGGATGAGCCGCTTCATGGACAGGTGGAGCAAGGAAACGGCAATGTCGACGCTCCAGCAACAGCATCTACTCTACCATACCCTATAATACACCAGTTAAAATAAATCTACAGCCACACAACAAATATCTGCTCCATAGTAATGACCTATGCTACATCCATACCTATGAATGCACCAAAAAATATAACACCATCAAAACGGATGCATCAGATTATTTTTAGCCATTCTCTCTCATTACTCATCCAAATCCGACGGCTCATGTTCACCATGTCTACCCTCATTTCCCACACCCGCGTCAAGCCCCCGCATGCCCGCGCCTAGAAGCGCACGGTTCGATCCCTCACGTTGCTTTTTTTCGTCTAGAGCGACCGCGGAAGAAAAAAAACATCACGCACCGCCGCTCTTGGTTCCCGATGCGGCTAGGGTTTCCCGGCCATCGCCACGCAGGATCCGACCGCCGCGTGGCACGGGCGCGGACGCGACGGCGACTCGGAAGGGAAGCGGCGACACGATGCTCATTTCTCTCTCTTCTCTCCCCTAAATTTCTCCCTCTACCTCTCTATCCCCTCTCTATCCTCAGATGCCTCTCCGCCTTCGCCAATATGCCTCCATCACCGTTCCTTGAGCGAAGCGGCTGCGGGCGCGCGGGGTATGCAGCATGGCGGCATTCGGTGGGAGCGGCGGCGGGCGCCGGCCGACAAGGGCAACTCGACAATGCCTTCGGGGGTGTCTTCCGCGCCTTCACGCTTCTCCTCATCGGCGTCGTCGTGTTCTCGATCTGCCTCTAATCCGTAAGATCTACTTTGGCCCCGAGCCACGAGTACACCATGGCCCCTCGGCCGGTCGCTGGCCACTGCCCAACCCCAGCGCCCTAGCGGTGGCCGGCTGGCCGGCCCAGCGCCCCGGCCCCTCTCGGCTGCTAGGCAGCCAGGGGCCGCTGCCCGCTGAGCTCCTCCTGAGCGAGAAGGGCGCCGACGTGGTCTTCGATGTTGGTGGCCGGACGTTCGCAGCACACCGGTGCGTGCTCGCCGCCCGGATTCCTCTTCCATTCTCTCTGTGTGTTTGCTGTTACGGCCAAAAGATGAACATTACAAGCTAATAGAACTTGCGCATTTGTACTAAACCGTGCAGAAACTTGTGAAAATCGAAGGAAAATGATTATAGATCCAAATAATGTGAAAGTAATTTTGTTACATTCATGACTTTATCCTCTGTTTGTGAAAAATATGTTTGCATATGTTACTCTAACCAAAATTTCTTCATTTTTTTTTGCCAAATTGTAGTCTTCAAGATTTAAGTTGGATTTCACTTTGAATGCCAATTTTCATGCTTCCATTAAGTAATTTTACCATTAGATTAGCATTTGATTAATTACTCAAAGTATGCATAATCATTTGTTTTTGTAAATGCTCGATAGGCCATCTTGGGTGCCTCCAGGATTCATGCTCAAGAGGATTGTGCATTGATTACTATTGTTTGGCTTAATGAAGTGATGTTCTCCACTGGTACGGTTTGGTTCCATCTATCTTTCTTATTTCTACAATTCAAATATTTATGAATGAACCCTGAAAATATACCTTAATATTCTGATTTTGTTTGTATTCAATACAACATTAACCACCTAGCAGTATGGACAAAATCATACAGTAGTTCAAATTAGTAGGAGCTAATACATTTTTACCTAGATAATCTTTGTTTGAAGGGAACATGTTTTTTAGTCAGATTACAACATGAGCCTAAAGACCTAAACCATGTCACCTCCATTCTACCTTTCACTTCAATTTTAATCCCAAAATCTCCACTTGGTGATTTAGTTTTGGCACATTCTTTGCATTCTTGTGATTTGGGATCACCAATATTTTGATTAAATTCTCCTGTGAGACTATGATGCGGACTGAGACTATAATCATGATTCACTAACACTAGGTGCTAGGTTGGCTAGGTTGTTGATGTTTCACATGGTTTGGCGATGTGCCGGTGTGGAACTGTGGAAATATGTGATGCTCTGACCTACACGTGGATTGAGCTAATGTTGTAAAAAAATAATGTGCTTTATACTCTTTTACTTATTTTTCCGATATTCTTTTAACTAATAGAATCATATTTATCATGGCTTTATTAATTGGTCAGTCATTTTCATGTTACTAGTACCAAGGTTGAATCTCATGTTGATTGCCAGGAAACCCTAATGAAACATCTCTTGCTTACTGACCCAGGTAGTCATGCAAAGGTTTCTCAAGAAATTGCACTTCTGAAGTTTGTTAAGTGTTCACTCTAAAACACCTAAGGATGTTGTTCATCTAGAAGCATCTAAGACGAAAGATAAGATAATACAAAAAATTACTCATGGCCTCTGAAAATCCTTGACATATTTTGCAAGCATTCATAGTGCTACATTGGAGCCCTAAAGTTCACATTTGTTGTCTCCCTGCCACTCTATGGCAGATGTTGTTTTCCCTTCATTTTTTAACTTTTCTACTCTAGGGCTTTCAACTTAGAATGTGATTCAAATTAATTGGCTGGGTGATCAGGTGCCTGATTCATTTTCCAATTGAATCTATTGATTATGATACCTTTGTTTTTTATTTTATTTTTACTTTTCTACTCTAGCATTTCAGATTAGAATGTGATCCAAATTAATTTGCTTGGTGATCATGTGTAGGTTTTTTTTCACAAAACTGATTCTAAAAATCTATTGCTGCTGATTCATTTTTCAGTTGATTTTATTGATCTGCTAAACAAGGTTAGCCTTAAATATGTACATACTCTCCATTGGTCCCAGAGTCTATTTTTGAAAAGCTTGTATCAAATCCAAACCAAATTTCTAACTGATTTCTATATATTTAATGATAAAAACAATTTTTGTACAAGAATTATGTCTTTCACAAATTTGATGTATTTTTCTGATTTGCTTTGAGAATGTGAAGCAGGCCAAAGCCATCCTTTCATGTATGAGGGAAAAAGGAGAAAGGGAATTAGGAATTGACATTTCACTTGTTAGTTTTTTGGATATAATTAAGATGATCTTGTAAATATCTCAGTAAGACAGTAAGTTATATTTGCTACTTTGCTCTTTTATCTTTCCATGAACCATATTAGTGGTCAAGTGAGTAATATGCCTTTTGTGGAACTACTTCAGATCACTGGTTGTTTTTATTAAGTTTGTTTTTGGTTGGAGGTCCTAATGTTAAACACTATATATTCTTTCAACATGTAGCCTTGAACACTTGGGGAGATTCCTTCCGTCAATGACTGAATCAGTGCGCCGGCTTAGGGACCTAAAAAGCTATGTTTTGGTATAATGAAACCTCCACCCTTCTCACTTTAGCGGAGTGTGCGTGCGTGATAATTTTTTAGTTACTCTTGTATCTGCAGAAAATAATGCATATTTAGGTTATTTTAGAGATTGGAACACCTTAAGGAGTATGCTCAATTAGTTTTTCTATATAAAATGGAGAACATGTTTGATCATAAGCCTATGCGCTCTTATATCATTTGGATGGAAAAGGGAGTATGCTATACTCACTAAATGTATATGTACAAAATATTCCATTTATTCCCTGGTTATGTACCTGATTATTTACAATCTTCCATGTATTCCCTGGTTATGTAGCCGCTTATTTACATAAGCTTTATATTTTCTAGAAGTGTCATATAATTGAAGAAAAAAACTCAAGACGCCTACAAGTAACATGAAGAGCGTTGTATTCCTCAAGTAGCCTATTTTAAACTGGGTCTTTTGTGTTTGTCCTTGTAAGACGGAACAGAAATGCTCATTTTGTTTATCTCCAATAATAATAAGTTCACATGTGATCCTGTTTGCATATATGTAACACTCAGCAATGAAGGATGTGCAATTTTTGTTATTCATAAAGTATTCAACATCTTTATGCATATCACAATGATCTAAGTGAAATATGAAGTAATCATAGCCTTGTAATGAATGTTGCAATTAAGTTGATCTTGTGCACATACTCGCTTCGATGTGACTGGTTTTTTTGTTGCATTGTTAGGAAAAAAACCAAGAATTGAGATTTTCTTGATATTGCTCTATTATAAAAAAATATTTTAATAGACACGTGCGTGTCGCACGTGCATGTCCACTAGTTAGACCAAGTCACAAAGTAAAATTTTGAGGGTAAATTACATTACTAGACAAATTAAATCACACTAGTACAGAGATGGCCTTTACTCCCGGTGGGGAACCCCCTCTAATCCCGGTTCCCCACCCGGGAGCAAGCATCCGGGACTAAAGGGGGGTCCTTTAGTCCCGGGTCAAGGGGGACCTTTAGGCCCGGTGGGTAACACCAACCGGGACTAAAGGTGCCTCCTGACATGCCACGAGGCCGGCACCCTTTAGTCCCGGTTGGTAATACGAATCGGGACTAAAGTTTTTTTTTTTTTTTCTTTTCTTTTCATTTTTGTTTTCTTTTCAAAATAGGTTTTCGAAGTCGTATTGTACGCTGCTAATAATACATTTATACGCGCGTATAGTATGTTTCGGTTCAAGCACAATAAACGTATTAAATGACACAATTCAAGCATATATATATATATATATATATATTCAAGCATATATATATATATATATATATATATATATATATATATATATATATACATGCATGCATGCATGCATATGTGTATTTTACATTATATTATTTCATGTGCATATATTACAAAAGATTGCATTACAGTTGTTGTGATATAACAAGTTTCCTCTCGTCTTCTAGCTTGGCTTCCATGGCAGTGTTGGGTCGAAGTAGAACTCGCCCTTGGAATCGATGACTTGGTCATTAAAAAATCTGGCTATAGACTCTTGAATTGCTTTGATTTAGTCTTGCCGTATGACCTTTTCCTCCAACCATCGAGCCTACAGGTTTGAATTAAAGGAAAATAAATTAATATATGTACATACATATTGTGGGGGAATAGACCCCCTATACCCTCATGGGTATACATGGGACGCACCACCGGAGGTGGCCCAGCCCGCAAGATGAAGCGTGCGGAGCACGCTATATTGTAATTGTACCAAATTGGATACTTTACTTGTAATATTGTCCTTTCGTAGTATATAAGGAGGGCAGG